ATCCTATCCTATCCTATCCTATCCTATCCTATCCTATCCTATCCTATTCCATTCCATTCCATTCCATTCTCCCCTCCCCTATTCTATTCTATTCCATACCATTCCATTCCATCCTCCCCATCCCTATTCTATTCTATTCTGTTCTAAACTAAGAGACTTTTGACCGATGCTCAAAAGTTATGGCCATTGCATCTCCCCCATGGTTATGTGTTTATTATCTGGGTTCTTGGCAAACCATTCGCACTTATGACAGGTTGCCAAGCCCTCCACGATCATGTGACCACCATTTGCAATCCTCAGAAAGCCAACAGGCAAACCAGCCGGAAAGGTTGCAAGTCACTTCATTTCTCTGAGTAGCAGTGCTCTGCATGGAGAAATGAAGCTTGGAGTGCTTTGCTTCTCCACGCAGCACACCACCTCCTCTCCTGCCCTGAGCTAGGGAGAAAGACTTTTTAACTTTCTATCACATGGCAGAGAGGAGAAATACTGGGCTGAAGAAAAGAAGCTCGGATCATTGGGATCTGAGCTTTTTTCCCTCTGGCCAGTTCTGTACATAGAGAGGAGAAGAGACCTCTGTTGTCCCTTTCTTTGAAGATCCGTGTAAATCATCTAGTGACTTGCCTGGAAAAGCCAAGCCAGCAATCGCTGAACAAGACAATCACATGTTCCTTGCTTAATGATGGCATTGACTTATTGCTGCAATAGGCATCTCCATCACAATCATAACATGTAGGCTATCTGTAATACCCAAGTACTCCTTGAATGTAAGAGGCTTCTAATTCTTATATCATCTAATTCTTGTACTATCAATAATCCAGTAACCCTTCAAATTGTATTTGCAAGGGTATGGTATCTCCTGATAATCTGAAGGTTTAAGTAAATTTATTGGTTTAGTATTTGGATTAAAATAGTAAAGGGGTAATTAATTCTGAAAATTACAATTGATTGCAAGATCGCAATAAGAGTAGTATAACAACAAAATGCATAATACAATAAGGAGATATTGCAAAATGTATTTTTAGAGCTGTGCTTGCTGTTTCTGATTTTCTGCTATTTACATACACAGAGGGGCCAATTGATGTAAATATGAGTGAAATCAGTATGGATGAGATCCACCAGTTTTTCTCTCAAGACCCTACTATCAAATTAGGAGGCCACTGGAAGCCTAGTGACTGCTTGCCTCACTGGAAGGTAAGTTACAGGAAGGGAATAATAATGCTATACCATCTCAAATTCTGAATTTGTTATATGCAACATAAAGGGATTATATTTTTCTGTTGAAATGTTTTTATATAAGCTGTTGGCCTTGTAATTCAGGTTTTTTTTTTTTTTTTGGTAGCTGTTATAATAGACAAGAAAATCTGTACAGTAAAGTTCTTAGTGCTTTCTGAGCTTAGTTGTTCGCTTGCAAATATTTTATTACACAGCTAGCTAATATTGTTAGTGTGTCTCGCACCCAAGTTGTAAGCAGAGTTTCTAGCACTACTGATTTCTCCACTTTGGAAATCTCACTTCAAGAACTGATCTTTGGAATATTAAAAATAAAATTAGGGATCTGTCTTGAGGTTCAATGTTATATTTTAATGTAATGCAAGTTCAAGAACAAAGCCCTGAAGCCACAGATTTAAATGTTATTAATTATAATATAATATTTAGTATTAACGGACAATGAGATTTGTTTACAAGGACTGAAATGATTGAGCCCATTTCACCTCCAAATCAGAAGTGTTGACACGTGCTTGGTCTCTGCAATCTTATTAGGCTAAAATAAATTAATTTGAATTTTATTGTAATGTATTTGAACAGAATTTTGCAAGAAAAGAACATTTAGGCAAGCTAATTCCCACTCTTAAGAATACGAGGATTTTACTTACAAAAATAATATCCATGTCAGGTTTACATCTTTGCTTATCCAATATTGATAGCTTAGGTTGCTTGCTAGATCTTAGAAGAGCTCATGATCTCTCTCCTTGTAGGTGGCTATTCTTATTCCATTCCGCAATCGTTTTGAACATTTGCCGGTTCTCTTTAGACATCTTATTCCTATGCTACAACGCCAACGTTTGCAATTTGCATTTTATGTCATTGAGCAAGTAAGTTTGCATTTACTGTTTTTGTTTTCAAGGTTAATTTCTAGATGTGCGAAGGCTTAGTTTGTTTTGATAACATTTTCTCACCAAGTCAAATACTGAAGTAATTCTTTTAAGGAGGCAACTCATGTCATCCTGAAGCCTTGGCTGACTGTTCCCCTAGCCAGAAACTTCAACCCATGCAGAGAGCAAATATAAAATATTCTTCCAGTTACTGGAACTGCTGGAGGAGGCCCCAGGAGAGAAATGAAATTATGTATGTATTTCATTTTTAGAAGCAAGGAGGACATATTGCTTTACAAAAATCTTCATTTCATTTTTGTTTCATTTAACGTATACAATAAAACTTTTAAAGATTTGCACAGATCTGCTAATTTCTTGTCTAATGATGGAGAAATGCTGATCTGTTGTATAATAGCAATAGCACTTAGATTTATACCGCCCCAAAGTGCTTTACAACACTCTCTGAGCGGTTTACAAATGTCAGAAAATTGCCTCCAACAATCTGGGTCCTCATTTTACAAACTTTGGAATAATGAAAGGCTGAGTCAATTTTGAGCCCACCAGAATCGAATTCCAGGCTACGAGCAGAATTTGCCTGCAATAATGCATTCTAACCACTGCACCACCTGGGGTCCCAAAACCCTATAAAAAAGATCAACTCGTACAGCTTTTGCTCAACAATATTATATCTCAAATGTTCAGAGAGTTGTTTCAAATTTGAAGTGATGGAAGTCTTCCAAGAGAGTGTATGTGTGTTTTGTTTGTTGATTTGTAGTTAAAATCTAAGTATCTAAATCAAAATTTTGGTACTTCTGAAGACTTATAACTTTAATTGACTCAATATACCCCAATAATTAATTAAACTTTGTACAAAAATGTACAAAGCTCCAAAAATAGATTTAAATTGCCACACTTTTCCTCGATGAAATTCTTACAGTGTTTACATGTTTGCTTTTTTCTTTTTGTACAATTGCCTATACATCTGTGTAAGAGCCATTTAAGAAGTGGGATCCTTATGCTTGTATCAAAAGGTCTTGTAGCTTCTTGTGCAGACTAGTTTGGGCTTTCATAGGACAAAAGTGATATATAAATGTTGCATTGCATTTATATATTTAAGTGTTAATCAGATTCAGCCTATATATCTAGGTGGGCATGATATCACTGTGCTTCTAGGAATGTGTTTAACTCCTATTTTTCAAGAATTAGCCTGGCAGCAGTGTGTGTCTTCTTTGGTATTTGTAGTTAGGCTTTAGGGTGGTCCTACAAGCCCTCATATGTCTATCTGCAGGCCTTAATCTGCTGATATGTCAGACATGTCAATCTAATGAAAAAAAAAATCAGGCAAAATTTGAAAGAAAAATCTTTGTGTCTTTGAAATAGAAAATTTACCATACTGTAAGATTTGAAGCAACTAAATGCACCTATCATCCACTACAAGTATTGGAACTCAGGTTGCCTTGTGAATGAAAGTAAATATTTTTTATATATTGGGCTTTTCTTCTAGGCAGGTAATCAGCCCTTTAATCGTGCTATGCTCTTTAATGTTGGCTTTCGGGAAGCTATGAAGGACTTAGATTGGGACTGTTTGATTTTTCACGATGTGGATCATATACCTGAGAATGATCGTAACTATTACGGATGTGGACAGATGCCAAGACATTTTGCTACTAAGTTGGATAAGTACATGTATATGTAAGTAAGTGTAATTACCTAGTGAGTTTAATGCTAAAAGTAGAAAATTAATTAGAAGCAGATACTACTGTAACTGAAACTAATTGAGACAAGCTACAACCACATATTTGCTGTGACCACTAAAAACTATTCATTTCAACCTTGACTGACATTTTTATTTTCATATATCTTTAGACTTCCATATGCTGAATTTTTTGGTGGAGTGAGTGGCTTGACAGTGAAACAGTTCAAAAAAATCAACGGCTTTGCAAACGGGTTCTGGGGCTGGGGTGGAGAGGATGACGACCTTTGGAACAGGTATGTTGCCTACAAGAGAGGGAGAGGGTGGTTGGCATGTAATTTCCAATTAACCAGGCTCCATGATTTAGTTTCAAATTCCACAAGATGTGAACAAAAAGAATTGCAATATAAAATTTAAAAGGAGTGACTTTGTCGGTCTTTTCATTTGTATCCTTGGTTACATCTTACATTATATACTCATCTTAGCAATACCAACTGCCTGAAAGTCTTCCCTATTTTCTTTTTATGCTATTCAGCCCTGTTTTGGCAACGGACACTCTTACAAGATAACATCTAGAACAGTGGGCTGCGAGAAAATTTTGGTGGGCTGCAGACAAATCTCACCCCCAGAGCACCCCCCCCCAAAGGAATTAATCCAGACTGCGCAGAAACACAAGGCTGGGCTGCCCACATGGCCCGCAGGAACCCTCCCCGCCCACTCACTCCTTACCTGGCAAACTTGCCTGCCAAATTGCTATTTTTCCTTTTTCCGACCATCAGCTGTTCTGCTATACCAGGAGATTTAGATTAGCTTGGAAGCAGGAAATGGTTGGATTTCTTGCTTTCTAGCTAGTCTTTAGATCTTTGGCTCTACTTTTAAGCACAGCCAAACCTCCCTTGGGACTGAAGGTTCTATTATTCAGTGCAGACTCGCAGCAAGCAAATTTGAGAGACTGAGCTAGCCGATGGCAGATAGATAGATCACTGAATGATTCTGTGAGCAACTCAATCTGCCTGCCTGCCTGCTTTTCCTGATTTTGGGCAAAAGTTGCTCTTTTTTAAAATAAAAAATTCAATATTTATATAAATATTTATAATATTTACATACTAGCCATGCCCACAAATTAGGCCATGCCCACAGAACCTGTTAGTGGTCCCTGGGATTTAAAATTATGAGTTTGGTGGTCCCTGAGGTCCAAAAGGTTGGTGACCCCTTATCTAGACAATACCCACCTCCCAGCCACATCATTATCACTGATACAAAGTTAGCCTTCCTTCCCATCGTTAATTTTATATCAATTTAGTGTTGCCATTTATTGTTTTAACATTTCATTTTGTTGCTTTTATTGATTGTAAGCTACCTAGGCAAGATAGGTGGCATATAAGTTTAATAAATAAATAATAAAAAATAAAGTCTACATCTTTCACCTTTATAATTTAAGTTGACCCATGAAGTACTGTTTATTTCCTGGCTATAGTTAATTTACTCTTATTAGATAAGCTGTTTTTAGAAGTACATAAGAACAGTACTTGTTATAGCTATATCCCATAGTTTCATAGTTATCAGTAACATCTTATTCCTTTTCTTTCCAAATAACAGCAGGCTAACACACAACTAATTCAAATGAACAAGTGTATAAATAAGCTAATTTAGGAGATATGTTGGGATGCTTGCTTATGAATAATGTTGATATGATGTTTGCTCAAATGATTAGTGTTGGCAAATATTAAATTCAAAGCAGTTTAATGACTCCCTTTCTCGTCCAGGGTTCACTATGCAGGCTACTTGGTTACTCGGCCAGAAGGAGATACAGGGAGATACAAATCGATTCCCCATCATCACAGAGGGGAAGTTCAGTTCTTAGGAAGGTAAATAAAATGTTGTTATAAATATTATATATATGCAGATTCTCCAGTCCATCAAATTTGACTGGATGAACCTCCATTGTATTTCTTAAACAGTATAGTTTACAGATTAACAGAGTTGGAAGGAACCTTGTAGGTCATCTAGTCCAACCCCCGACCCAAGCAGACTCTATACCATTTTGGACAGATGCCAGTCCAGTCTCTTCTTGAAAGCTTCTTAAAAGCTTCCAGTGATTAGATGGTTGGGCCCATTAAGCGCTTCATTTTAAACACAAAATCCTGTGGATCTTTACTTTGTAGCCTCTAGAGATTGTGTTGCTTTTCTTTATGATTTTTGATCGTCTGACTGTATTTCAATTTGAGTTTAAGATGATTCTAAGATAGAACTAACTTGCTATCTCTGCATAAAAGTATATGTGTTTGTGGGATAGGTAGTTATGGTAGTTTAGATTATCTTTTGTCACGAACTAATTCAGCGCTCCTTGTTTTTACAGCCAAGACATATTTGTCCCAAGCTATTTCCTAACTATTGAAAGCCTTGCCAAATGTTCAGATGTCTCTACTGGAAAAGCACAATTATTATGGATTATTCTCAGACAGATTTCAGCAAAATGTTAAGATCCCCCTTTTCTTTAGTTAGCAAACCTGATGTCTTTGTGACTTCTACTTTCATGGATATACATGTAGTCCTTGACTTATAATCAAAATTGGACCGGAAGTGATGCATTCATTAAGTAAATTGCACCTGATTATACAACTTTTTTTCAAATCACATGAGCAAAACAGCTTCTTCCTTTTCTAATCAAAAGCCTCCAGGGAAGGCTGCAAATACAGTTGCTAAATGGTCAGATTCTGATCGTGTGACTATGGGGACATTGAGACGGTTGTAAATGTGAGGACCAGTCATATGTCCCTTCTTTTTAGGACTCTCATAACTTCAAATAATCATTAAATGAAAGGTCATAAGACATAGAGTACCTGTAGTCTGGATATTTTCTCAGTTCCGGCTTGAGTTGTAGTTTTGGCCATTGGGAGGATACTATTTACTGCCCACTGAAATAGGCTGCAAAATTATGCCTATTTAACTTTGCATTCCTTGTCTTTATATTCATTTACATATGGTTGTATGAAAAGTTTGTGCTCATAGTAAATTTTGCATCAAGATTTCTCATGCAGATCAGTACTGAATTATAATAACCTTGAAAATGAATTGCAGTTATATTCTTGGTTCTGAATGCTGTATTTTTTAAAGTGGCCTTTTTATGTATCAAGCATATAGAGATTTCTATAGGTCTGTTTTAATGTAAAATTCAGATTTCATATTGCAGTATATAGTTCCATTTAATTGTATTCCGAAGCACAAAATGAATTTTTTTGAAATGATGTTTCTTCTCATTTTTCTCTTAGCCTTTGCTTTGCTGTTGAAGTTACCATATAGTGATTGTGTTTAACTGGGAATTAGAGCAGCTATAATTTGCAGGGTTTTTCCCCAGCCTCAAGTGTTTGTGGGACATTGATGCTCGTGTGGAAAGGAGAGCTTCAATACCCCAAACTGATGTAGTTTTTTTTAAAAAAAATGCTTTGGGCCAAAGTGTATTTAGGATCTATTAAGTAATGAATCACTATTTCATTTCAACCTTAAACATTTAAACAGTTTTTAAGAAAAGTTTCTAGAGTACCATCATTAGGGAAAACTTGCTTTCAAAAGCAACTGTTTAAAACGCTTTCTCCTGTGGATTACAGTTGTTACATTTCTTATTTTTGAAGTAATCCTCAGTTTTTAGTTGCTTGGTTGATTTATTCAAAGACAGCGCGCGCCTGAGTTCTCATACTACCTCTTCTCTTTTTTCCCATCCTCCTTGTTCTGTTATGAAACTGTTGCCTGTTTCAATTCCAGCTGCTAGCAAGTAAAAGCAAGCCAGTCCAAGGGAGAAATTTAGACTGTAATGTGCAAGTGATAGAGCATTAAATGATTTAATTGACAAGGAGCTCACTAAAGGGACTTCTATCCCAGCAACACATTTCCCTTTGCTCTTCCTGAAGGAGAGGGAGGGGGAAATTGCACCTTCAGGAATTATGGGATTATGAACATTTATGCAACACACATGTCATTACCTGTTTTGTTGTTGTTGTTCTGGTTAAGCTTTGCTAGTAGAAAATATATGCTAACAGAGGTTATAGCTCCATTTATGCTGAAGAGGACATTTATGTTATATCCTAAAGGAGTGCAGCTAGGGATCTCTGTATAAAATTATGCCATATATTCTACTTCAGGATATGGAACAAGAACTAGGGGAAGCTGTGTGTGTCTGCACGCAATATGTATTATGTACACGTGAACACATTCCCAATTATATATCTGAGAAGAGAGAGTTCTCAGCTTTAGTATCTCAAACTTCAACAAGCAGTAAATGTATAAAAAGGTCACTGACTCTATATAAAAGTTTCAAATGTTACGGAACAAAGAGGACAATATCAGCATATCAGGAATTCTGTTGTAACAGCCTACCTGTGCATCTGGAAGACAGTCAGTGTTGTAGTTTCTGCGTTTTAGTGTAAGATTTCTTATAAATTTGGGGTCATTTTTCAAAAGGACTTTAAATTTCTTTAAACTGGCAGCATATTTTTATCTTGCTTTATTCATTGTTTTTGAATTGGGCCCACTGATAACTACTGGAACATCCTTCCTTCTGCTTATGCTTAATATTTTTTTTTTATTAATAATGTTTTGAACTGAGATCTCTGGCCATTAGTCTAGTGCTACTATAACTCATTTGTGTGGGCATGTTCATGGTAGGAAATGTAAATTATAGAAAAGATAAATACAGAAAACAGGAGGCTTAATTTTCTATATACTGTAGAATAGAATAGAATAACAGAGTTGGAAGGGACCTTGGAGGTCTTGTAGTCCAACCCTTGTTCAGGCAGGAAACCCTAAACCATTTCAGACAAATGGTTATCCAATCTCTCCTTAAAAACTTCCAGTGTTGGAGTACCCACAACTTCCATTGATTAATTGTTCTAACTGTCAGGAAATTTCTCCTTAGTTCTAAGTTGCTTCTTGGTCAGTTTCCACCCATTGCTTCTTGTCTTGCCCTCAGGTGCTTTGGAGAATAGCTTGACTCCCTCTTCTTTGTGGCAGCCCCTGAGATATTGGAACACTGCTATCCTGTCTCCCCTAGTCCTTCTTTTCATCAAACTAGACATACCCAGTTCCTGCAACGGTTCTTCATATGTTTTAGCCTCCAGTCCCCCTCTTGGTTGCTCTTCTCTGCACTCTTTCTAGAGACTCAACATCTTTTTTACATTATGGCAACCAAAACTGGATGCAGTATTCCAAGTGTGGCCTTACCAAGGCGTAATAGAGTGATATTAACACTTCATGTGATCTTGATTCTATCCCTCTGTTTATGCAGCCTAGAACTATGTTGGCTTTTATAGCAGCTGAGGCACACTGCTGGCTCATATTTAAGTGATTGTCCACAAGGACTCCAAGATCCCTCTCAAAGTTACTACTATTGAGCAAGGTACTACATATACTGTACCTGTGCATTTGATTTTTGATTTTTTTTTGCCTAAATGTAGAATCTTACTTTTTTCACCATTGAATTCCATTTTGTTAGATCAGGGGTTCCCAACCTGGGGTGCTCGCACCCCCTGGGGGTGTGAGACGATATTCCAGGGGGTACGAGAAAAGTCCAGGTAAATAATAGGATATTGGCTATATGTTGTCATTTTTATTTTCAGGGGGTGCGAGCTTCGAGTGAAATTTCTTTAGGGGTTCAGGGCAAAGAAAAGGTTGGGGACCACTGTGTTAGATAGTGCCCAATGTTCAACAATGAGCCTATTGTTTTCTTGACTTCTTTCTTGTTTTTAACGTGTTGGAAGAAGCTTTTTGTTGTTGTTGTTGTTGTTATTTTTTACTTTTGTCGCAAGCCTTTGTTCATTGTGAGCCTTAACTTCCTCATTTCATCTTTACAGGCTCAGGCTATTTGCTGATATCCTGCTTTAGTTATTTACCCCTCTTTCCACTTTTTACACTTGTCCTTTTTGTCTTTAAATTTGTCAGAGAATTCTTTATGCCATGTTGGTTTCTTTTGAGAGCTGTTATTTTTCTTCTTCATTGGTTTTATGCTAGATGGGGCTAGATTCCAGTGGTTATATCATAACCTGATACCGTAGTATTATCCATAGAGAACTAGAAAGGAGCATATCTTCCTTCAATTGCTTTACTGACTTACGGTCTTAGAATCATTCATATTTTCAATCACTTAATCAGACAAATTACAATCATTTATGTCTGTTTTACATTGGCTGGATTCATATGTCAAGGTAGACCATTTAAAAATAATTACATGTTAATGTAATGAATGGTTTAGTGTGTCATATGAACTTAGAAAACAATATTAACTGTGATTCAATTAAAAGTGTATTTTGCAAACATGGGTCAGTTTTTCTTGGAGAAAATGTATTGCTTGTATTGTACACCACAAAAATCCATACTTTATTTAATGATCAGTTGTTGCATAAACCACAGTTGGCAGATTCACACAGCACTAAGACATATTACAGTTTTATGCAATGTTTAAACCAAAGATTAACTATTAAATGATTACATGAAAAATAAAAATGAATAAGAACTGTATTAAAGCTTTTAATTATTAATTTAATGGATGGAAACTGATCAAGGAGAGGATTCAACCTAGAAATAAGGAAATAATATTTTCTGACAGTGAGAATAACTAACCAATGAAACAGCTTACCTTCAGAAATTGTGTGAGCTTCATCACTGGAAGCTTTCAAGAAGAGACTGGACTGCCATCTGTCAGAAATGATGTAGGGTCTTCTGCTTGGGTGGGAGGTTGGACTAGATGACCTACGAGGTCCCTTCCAAATCTGTTATTCTGAAATTAAGAATTTGTGCTTCAGCCTTTCTCATGAATGTAAGAAAATGGAAGTGTCCGAAAAAGTTTTCATTCTTATATATATTTATAAAAATGAGTGAAATCTATATAAAGGATGGATTTTAGCAAACAATTTTTTTTAATCCATGTTAAGAAGTTTTCATTATATAAAATGAAAGTAGAATTTTTAAAAAGGGAAGTGTGTGATTCAGGATGAGATTTATGGAGAAGGAAAACAGATGCAATAATTTTTGTTTCTCATCAGAATTGGTCAGAGCAGATGGCAACATGTTGGAAAATAAATCCTTTGGTTGAGCAATACTAGAAAATTCAATGAAGTGAAAGAAAAGAATTGGACAATTTAAAATAAAAAAGCTTTTTTATAGTTTGTAATGTGTAATGCTTTCATATTTGTCTGTTAGGTTTATATTTTGGTGTTGCTTACATAAATTTTCTTTGCAATATTTATTTATCAGGATCTGAGCATTTCAATAGAAATCCATTATTCTAGTTTAGATATCCAACTCTGAGAAATGATTGTGTTCATATGACATCCCTACCCATGGTTAATTTATCTATGCTTTCCTCAGTTAATTCAATTACTTGTGTTCATACTTTATATACCTGCTTATATACTGTGTATATAAACTAATATAAATACAAAATGAAGCTGCAAATAGGATGTACATTTTTGGAATCCAGGTGAATTTGTATTCTGAGTCATACCTTTTAAAGTGGACATGAATGGACTTTGGATGTCTGCAGCTGCATTTGGATATTTTAAATAAATTATTGATATTCAAAATGTGTAGTGATATTGATAGTTCTTTTATGTGACATGTTGGAACAATATTTTTAATGTTTTCCCTTTTCTTTTTCAACAGATATGCACTGTTGAGGAAGTCCAAAGAGAGGCAAGAATTGGATGGCCTCAATAATTTGAACTATTTTCCAAATATTACATATGATTCTTTGTATAAAAACATAACTGTCAATCTAGCACCAGAGCTGGCTCTGGTGAGTGAATACTAAGAGAATATGAGAAGAGAATGTCAAGAGATGGTTTTATATATGTCTCCTGGACAAGAATAATCTTGTGTCTCATGAAGGATCACAGTGTTTTGAAGAATAATTTTCAAAAATACGCACCGAGATCATCAGACTGTAGACATATTCACACTGTCAGCGAGTTCAGACTTAACTTGCTTTTTGATTTCTTTTTAAAAAGAACAATAGTGTGACCTGCTGATTTTGTTCCAGCATTACATTTCCTTAAGCAATCTCCAGTAACAAATAGAGATTGAATGTGTTTTCCTACTCATAAAACCAGTTTGGCTTAAGAAAGAAAGAAAAGTCTTGGTTTCTTGACTTTTAGGGTGCTGTAAGCCACAGGTGTCAAACTCTCTGCGTCATGTTGTCATCACGTGGCGTTTCGTGGCATTTTTACCCTTCGCAGAGCTGGGCTGGGTGTGGCCTGTGCATTTTGCATCCGGCCTACAGGCCACCAGTTTGACACCCCTGCCATGACCATTATTGAAGATGAACTGTTACCTAACAGTGGCGCCATTCTTTTGCATTTGTGTTTGCATTGGTTTTCTAATTGACTTGCTTGAAGGGAAAAAGATATATATCTATATATCTATATATACCCACAATCACTTCTTAAAGAAGTATAGATGTAGATAAGCTGTATAAATTGCTTTCTTTTATTTTTTAAAAAATGCAGTTCAAAACTGAAGCTGAAGGTTTACAACTTAGTATAACTCAAGTAAGCCCTCAATTGTGCAAGCACTTCAATACATCAGGATGACATGCAAGTAATTGTCTTCAGGGCTATTTAAGCAGTTGTTGGTGGGATTGAGACTGTCAGTTCATTGGTTATTTTAGAAACAATACCAGTGTTTATTGGAAAAGGAGGAATCTGGCATTGGGAGAGAGAATTTTATTCATGAAAGTGTAAAAGCCAATTGCATTTGGGGGAATTGCATAGTCTTTCTGGAGTTGTGGTTTTCTTTTTTTCTTTTTTGGTGTGTGACCCAGTGCATTTTGTCCCCGTATTCCAAACTGACAGCAAAACATCAGAGAAAATATCTCCCTGTTTCATCTTGGTAAGGGACAAAAAGTCCCCAGAAAATTAACCAAGTTTCCACTTCATTTGGTTGAAGTTTGCAAATCTTTCAGTCTGTTGTTCGAAAAGTCTATAGTGATTTCTGTAACTTTAATTGGGGGGGGGGGGGGGATGAATAATATTTTGATATCTTTATTGTGTAAATGAAACTGAACTAATATAGATTAAAACTGTAGGTTGAAGTTCTTGGGTATGATTATTAACCAGAAAAACATTGCACAAGTACAAGTACTGGGATAAATGTATCCAGACTCCAACTCTTAATTACAAGAATGAAGGGCATTGAGATTAGTTTTTTAAAAAATGTGAATATCAGGCAGAATTGGTTGGTCCATAATCTCTATCTAGTTTTTGTTTTAACCTTCCATAATAAGTTTGTGCCTTTGTTTTGCTTTTCTGCTTTAAAACCAGTCCATCTCTTTATATAGCATGTACAGACTTTTTTAAACCGGGGTATTTTCTCTGGTAAAACAAATTGTTCTTTAATATATATTTATAGACAGAGTTTAATGTGAAAAGTAGTTTAATCTCTTTGATTGCATTGTTGCCTTCAGTTGCTTTAACTTGTATAGGAGACTTTTTTTTTCTTTAAAGATTTTGGGTTTGGTAGATATATGATCCCCCATATACAACTGCTGTGGAGGTGATTAACCAGGCCCATTTTTTTGAATCTCAAGGGTTATGAAGGGGTGAATGTGTGCTTGTGCATGAAAGAGAAAGTGTGCATGTGTCCATCTTATTGGCGGATATGAAAGGGCAGGAAGTCTGTTCTTGAATTTGCTGATAAGTAGGCTTTAATATTGTTCCATAATAGTACCTTTACGGTTGCTGCAGAGGGAATAACTTAGTTTTCATTCTTTTAATGGCACATGAAGCAATAAAGACTTCTACATTTTGATAATTTTCAGTTGTGAATAATTCGTATGTATTTTTTTTAACTTGGAATGCTAGTAGAAATTAACATTTTATTTAATGGTGCTTCAGTTGAGAATGTGTTTCAATCTGTCTTAATTCACCTTGACATTTCTAAACAGCTATTTGGCAGTGCTGCACACACAAACACACACACTTTAAAAATAGATTGTGCACCCTTCTACTATACCCTCTGAATTACCTCTGCTAAGAAATGCACTTGTTGAAGATTGGTGTGAAAGAGTCAGTTTCACTTCTTAATTAGTACTGGATTCATCCTCCCCCCCCCAAAAAAAATTTTTTTTCTTCACCTTCCTTTAAAAGCGTGGAATATATTTTAAATGTGCACTGTTGCTTTTATCAGATAAGTCAGCTATTGTATGATAAATGTAATTGTTGGAAACATAACTGTTAAGTGCATGTGTTGTTATGGTGTTTTTAAAAATCATTTAAAATCTGTACATTAATAGCTGACATTTCAACAGAGTGCTCCCCATTTTCATCAGCAGTGTCAGCTACTATTGCTAAGGGATAGAACACTATCATTACAAAATGTATGTTTTATATGAGCCATTTGGATCTTTATTTGCTAAAATCTCTTTATATTTTTTGTAAAAGCTGTTTTGTACTCAGTTTAACATCTGAGCGACCACTGTGCATTTCCAAACATCTACTGTCAAAGATAGAATTGAATCATATGTAATTTCTTTCTTTTTGTTGTTTTCAGCTTCTCTGTGGTTTCTGTGAGGCTCCAGGGGTATATTTTTGCACTGAAATCTAGTGTTAAAACACAATTTTCAGCAATCCATTGTATCATTGCATTTATTCACCTGTGTGTTTGTACATTTTTGTATTTGTTAACTTATGAGTGATTTTTTTCCAGTAAAAAGAATACATATTCAAGAATCAAGAAATGGTAATGATGTTGCTTTATTTATGAGTGAATTACTAACGTGCAGTTCAGTGTAATAAAGAGCCTGATTTATAGGTATGCCTTAATGCACAATTAGATTAATTTTACAATTTAAAAAACATGCTTTTAGATTGTTAATTATTTGACTGTTTCCCTTTCATTACAGAAATCAACACATGAACTTTATTTATTAAACTTATTTATATTTATATGAAATTTAACTTTCAAATTTCTGTTTTATAAATAAATTGCTTCATTGTTTTTTTAAAGGCCATATAAACAAATCAAATTACTCAAGTGTTTGTATAAGCTCCTAGATAATTTCAGTAGAATGTATGAAATAGAAAAAGCTTTCTATTCCTTGAAGTTTAATTTATCAATGATTATTGTCTTTGTCAACCTGTGTTACTGACATTTTAAATTGGGCCAACCAGCTTTTTAAGAGGTATCTAATTTATTCCCAACATTTTCATAAGTACCTTTTTGGAAAGTTTCTAGGATCTAAAGGTAGTATAGTCCCAGTCCTTAACACTTATATACCACTTCGTAGCGCTTTACAGCCTTCTCTCAGTGCTTTTCCCGAGTCCACATATTGTCGCCAACAATCTGGGTCCTCATTTTACTGACCTTGGAAGGATGGAAGGCTGAGTAAACCTTGGGCCGGTGAGGATCAAACTTCTGGCAGAATTAGCCTGCAATAATACTGCAGAACTAGCCTGCAATAGTGCATTCTGTGCCACCACATTTCTTACTTATCTTCCTGCATTAAGCTTTTCATTCATAATGTTCGTACCGCATATTCTGAGTATTTACATAAAGGCACTTGAAATCTTTGTGACTTAGTGTGGTCCTTCTTGCATTTGCCTCCTTGTTATTGATTGCCGACACATCCTGCATACTCCTTTCAGTTCCATTCCCAATCCCATTTCAATTTAAAGTCCTCTGGATCAGGTTAGCAAAGTACTTTTTAAACACCTTCTGCTCAACTCTTGTGAGATGCAGCCTATCCCCTGCCAGGAGTCTACTGTCTTGGAAACATGTTTTCTTATTCAAATCTAAACCATTCCTGTTGTCCTTGTCTATGTCGCCAGATGGCTACATTTCTTTCTCTTATTGGGCCTTGTCCTTGGATGGACGGATGGATGGGAGGGAGGGAGGAAGGAAGACATTGAAACATCTGTACTCAGCTCTGTTGCCTTTCTGCTATTATTCCTTATCGTCATAGCCATCTTTTAAGGCTTTGGCTGGCTGTGTCATATAGAGCAGAGGATATTTCAATGGACTTTTTAGTCATGCATGCCACATCTTTCTCTTGCTTGACTGATCAGAGAGACTCTAGCACTATTTCTTTCAATAAGGAGGTTCTGATCACCACCACCATTAAAGTGGAGGCAGGAATCATATTTTTAAATTTTGATTTAATTTGCTCTGGACTCTGCCTATTCCAGAATGACTCTGGCTTACAATTTAAAAATAGATGGAGGGAAAATCTATAAATTGAGGGAAAGTCTAGATAATAATATCCCATAATGGGTTAAAAAAAACCATCTAATGGCTCCATGGCCATCTACCTCAAGGCCTGGGAGAAGAACCATGTTTTTAAGGACTACTGGCACATCATTGGGAGGGAAATTTTAGGGGATATTCTAGAGTGCAGATACCGTAACCAAAATGGTAAAATTCTTGGGTTGGGTAGGACGTCTTAAATTGAAGGAACGGGGAGCACACCAATTCTGCCCAATCTTCCTGGACAGGCAGAAAGTATAGGATATAGGTAGTCCTTCAAATAACCTGGCCTTTACTCATCCACTTGGTCATCTTAGTGTTTGAGATTTGTGGCCGCTTTTCATCCAGGAATTCAGAAAAATAATCAAGCTTCTTGCTGCTGTCCTTTTGCAAGCACTTCCTGTATCTTCCCTCCTAAGCATAAGTTGTTTCACTTTCTCTTTCAGGGCGTACATCCTGAATGTGTGCAATATATCCTGAACTATGTATAATTCTTGTCATTTTCAGAATAAAAAACACAACACTTCTGCAGTCACAAGAACTAACGAAAAAGTACTTTCTCCTTGACTTGCCCTTCCAAAGACCTATTTGTACTCATCCCATTTGCTCACTTATAATAATTTTGATTGTTGCTTAGTAATGTGATACAATCAGTTTGTTGCTTGATTTCTGGTGATTCCATGCAGTTTATTGACAAGTATGGAAAAGGTTTATATTTTCAGTTTAACCCTAGTCTAGTGTTGCCAGGTAGATGCCCATTCAAATATTAATCAAACCTTAGTTAATTTTTGGGACAGTTGGAAAGAGATTCAAAAGGTATATAGATCTCAACAAAAAAAAATTAATCATAGTCTAAGCTGACATGTTTTTTGTCATGAGAATTAGCCATCTGTTCAAGAAATATCAGAGACATTTTTATGTTTATTCTCATGTATGTGATTATTTTTAATATTTGAGAAGTAATATGGCCAAATTTTCCTGATTCTCATTGTTCACAGGGCTTTTCTATCGCTTTTAAAAGTGATTTGGGAGTAAATTAGCATTGATCTGAATGTAGAATTATCCTTTATGTTACCTTTATTGAAGAGGGCTTTTATTAAAACCCATTGAAGCTTTTTTTTAAAGAATATGGCAAAAATATTGTCAGACTGAAGAACTTACAGTATGTAGTGGAACAGGTTGAAATTTCACAATTGCCTAATGCGCCACCTAATAGAAAAAGGGCTGTCAGTTATTTTACACTTGACAAGGAAGGAGGAGGAATAACAATTGCCTCAAATACAGCTAGTCCTCAACTTACAACCATTTATTTAGTTACTGTTCAAAATTATAATGGCATTGGAAACAGTGACTTACGACCATTTTTAGCACTTATGGCCATTGCAGCATCCCCATGGTCACATCAGATGCTTGATAACTGACCCCAATTTATGACGGTTGGAGTGTGTCCCAGGGTCTTGCAATTCCCTTTCATGACCTCCTGACATGCAAAGTCAATCGGGAAGCCAGATTCATTTTAACAAGAACATTACTTAACAGCTGTGGTGATTCGCTTAAGAACTGGGGCAAGAAATGCTGCAAAAGGGGCAAAACTAACAACTGTCTTGCTTAGCAACAGAAATTTTGGGCTCAGTTGTCATCGTAAGTCAAGGATTGCATTAAGTTGGAGAGTTGGGCTATTTGCATACACAATTGCTTGATGCAAAGCTCTTTTCTGAATCCAGAGATTGGTGTGAGAAGGGATAAGCCGGTCTCTGTTTAATACTTTGGGAGTTTAACTAATCAGATTATCCAGCAATATGGGTGTAATTAAAAAGGATCTATTAGCTTATGGAGCTTTGTGCATTTTTATCATTTCTCTTTTCTCAGCAGATGAGCTTGTGATGTTTTGCATGAGTTATTTTACTTGGGAGGGGAAAAGGGCTTATGGTTTTCAAATTGTGCTTTTTTTGTTTCACTCATGCCTATTTTTTGCTTTCTCATCCCCCATTCACACACTGAAATGCTTTATGTTGCTTTTAAATTGTAATATATATGTACAGTAATAACGATCAGCTAATACCTGTGACTTCAGGAAATTGAATAAACCAAAGAGATACGCAAATGCTATGAACTGTAGTTGTGATTCATCACAGGGCCAGCCAGAGATTTACAGCCTAGATAACAACGTCAAGATATCTATTACAGGAAAGAAAGCTTACTTCAAAAAAACAAGCAAAACTTGCAGAAAGAAGAAAATAAAATATTTTGATAAGTTTCACAATGGAGACCAACAGCAGTTGCAAAGAAATCAGCGTATCCAAAACAGGTGCTATCAAGGCAATGGGATTTCTGGGAGGTGGGTAATTTTTGTGTGTGCAACTTTGCTGCAAAAGAAGACATCTGTCTGTGCCTGAACTAGTTAATTCAATAAACGATTAAAATGAGAAATAAAGTTTAGATCAGACAGGGTTACCTAAGGCCAATATTCTATAATTACTGGGCAAGTAAGAGCATTTTGGAACACACTATTCTTAACCCCGCATAATGAAATTATTTAGGAGAAAATTACTTCAGAACCTCCTGCAAGCAGAGCATCCCTCTATTCCCTATCCAAAAATTGCTGATGTTTTAAACTCCATGTATTCTGGGTGTCAACTCACAGTACAACTGTTTTAAGTACCAATATATTTTTTAATCTAAAAAACAGATTGCTTTAATAAATGACAGACAAGCATAGTGTTCAAACATTATAACTTCTTGTAAATAATCTTTATTACACCAATAAGTTTCATCTATCAGGATGTGGCTTGAATGGTTGTCAGGATTTTTCTTTTCACCTGTTACTCATTTCCTTTCTGTTCTCTGCATTCCAGGGTCTGCAGGAATGCAAAATATTTTACTACTAGCTTCAGCATAGTTTGGAGGGATTGGAAAGTGTGTAAAAGTGATTTATGTGTGTCATCTGTTATCCTAGCTGTCTAAGAAAATGACTTTAAAATGGGCTTGGCTGTAAGGAAACTCAGAATAAATCCCTCAGAAGCTACTGATTGCCTAAGCCCTAAGTGAAGCATACTATGTACTGACATAGTGAATACTATAAAATGATTAATCTAAGTTCCAATATAGTTAT